TTGTATAGCATTGACATTTTCAATAAATATATATATATATGCATAATCGATATGTGACTACCAACAAACCACACACGCATACACATCTGTTGCAGTCTTGAACCATAACCTGTCCTTTATACATTTTTAAGTCTGAGTTGTAGAACAAAGTTGTTCAACAAACTGAGTGTAGCAAAAAGAAATAAAATTGCTTCTTCTTTATTTACAACTGATCTAAATCTGATGCACGACCGAGCACAATGACTCCGAGTGTGTAATGAAATATGATCTATTCTTCCACTAGCTAATCACTTCCACTCTCTTCCAACCATAATTCATCTCTCTCATTGTGTGTCGTATTCATTCACTCTCTTTTTGTATGTATTCAATGTCGCTCTCTGCAGCTAATATCAATATCGGACTTCAGACGTTTTGTACCATTATTCTAAGCATACCCATGAAATAATTTTGATACCCTAACGCAGGTTAGCATGAGTTAAAAAAAGTTTTCAAGAAAATTGTGTTTGAACGGGTTAAATTTTCAAATATGACGCGTACTAACGTTTCTTCGGAGCGGTAACGAGACAGATCCGGTTAAATATGGTTCCAAGAAATTTAACGAGTTTTTACGCATTCAAATTTTCCAAAAATCGATGATATACGGTGTAAACGCGTTTAAAAATAAAGAATACATGTACATTCCTGAATGAAAGTTTATCTTAACTTGTTTAAACGGGTTAGAATAGATTTTAACTCGTTAAAACTCGTTCAACGATAACTCACTGAATGCGTACGCGTTCCAGTGCGTTAGAACGGTAATTCTCCAGTCACCCTTTTGTTTTGCATGACCAACTCATATATATAAATAGCATGTATTTTCCTACGAAATATACGATAGATTCACTTAGAAATTTTCTAAGTTTTCCTCTTACTACATATATATGTGTAAGAGACTAGTCTACCATAATGATGCTGATGAACAGTATCTAGTAGACCATAGCCATGTGGATCTTGGGATCCAGTAACGGAACAAAAACCTGACTGGAAAGGATAAACACACACTATACACGCACTATAACGCGTAAAATTACATTAATCCGACATATTATTCTAACGGGTGTAAACGCATCCAAGAAGCTAACTTGTTCAATTTTAACAAGTTTGAACGATTTACGATTATGGAGGCGTTATCACGCACTATTAATCTAACTCGTTAGAATCACCGAATATGAAACATTTAACGCTGTTTTAACGCGTTAATCCGCTTACCTGTCGCGTTACAATTTTAAACTTTTCCTGATCAACTCATTTTAACCCAACTTTTAATTTTTTATAATGAAATTGTGTTTTTAACTAGTTAGGATTAATTTCGAGACATTTCTGGTCTCATACAAGTTCAGAAGATAACACGTTTGCACGCATTCCAGACCATTTAACCTGTGCGCATGCGTTAAATTATTATTTGTTTTAACACGTGCTAACTTGCGTTAGGGTATCAAAAATATTTCATGGGTATACTGGTATTTATTTGAAGCTCGTTTTTTTCCCTGCTTTTGTACCACGCAGAGCTGGACAAGTCAGGATTTTTCAAGTCTCAGTCAACGAAAAGATTCTTCAAGTCAGTCAAGTCTGACTCGATTTGGAATAGAGGCGTTTTTGTCTTGACTTGCCCAGCTCTGCATGGAAAACGACTCTACTTAGACCTTTAATATCATTTCTCTGTATTTAAAGAATACGCTTTTAAAATGACTTAAGAGACAGACAAAATTAGTAGTCGGTCAGAGGATCGATAAAACCTTTTCCCAAGTCAAGTCTGACTTGACTTGCCCAGCTCCGGTACCACGTTCACTGAAGCCTAAGAAAATACACGTATCAATTTCACACAAAATAATTCCAATTAAATACTGAATTTTTCTGCATGCCTTGTAGAGATTAAATGGAAAAATCTGTCTATAATATACTTGCAGTTACTATCGATTTACAGTCCGCAAGGGAGAGCTTTACACAACTACATAAAATCGGCCAGCGAAGAATCATAATTACAACAGGTTTGATTGACGAAATTGAGAGGCAGCCGAAATATGATCATCAAGTTTCTATGAAACCTCTTTTGCTAGGGTTTAATACGAAACCTTTTTTGTCAATAAAAAAATAGAGGTTTCGTAGCTGAACGTCCAAACCTAGGTTCGTACGAAACTTAAAAGGGTAAATGTGAACATTTGCGTCTTTCTCTTTCTTGTTTACTCATAATCGTCCAAGAAGCACTTGAGAGTGGGACCGAAGGTGAAGTGAGTTAGGGAATGAAAATACGCAGAAAGAGAAGCTAGAAGACTACAAACATCCCGTTTGCCTACGAATATTTGCCTGACAGAAAAGATTAACGACCAGCAAAACACAAAACCAAAGCCTATTTGTGCCAATAATAAGCAAGCGGTTCCTTCATTACGAGAGACTAATCTACTGAAAAACCGCCCGGACACATCATTTTCTCATCGTAATTTATAATTTGATCAGCTTTTAATTCTTTTACGAATGAGCTATTAATAAAAAATATTGTACGTGCGATTTTGACTTACAATCAAAATACTACAAAGTTCTGAGAGACCTCAACCGAAGCATCATCACCTTTCCTTAGAGCGGCGAAAGGGATAGCCCCCTCATCCTCCAAGAACTGGTCTAAATGACGTGAACGATCCTCTACCCTGAAAATACTTAATTACCGTTGATCATTAAGGAATGTTGATAGCCATTTGATTATATTATTATTCAACATATTATTCAAATGCTACCTATAGATAATGATTGTTTCAGTTTCTCAATACGCGGGTTACACATAGTGAGTAAATATCTCAAAAATGTCATATATACCAAACATCTGAATACGCGTATTATGCATACGGAGGAAATATCTCAGATATCCGCGAGATACGTGAAACATTATTATGCAACGTAAGAGTATTAGAGCACATCTCTCAAGTGTGAAGCGCTTCCATATTTATCTGATTTCTTGCACTATAACACAGTAACATCTGGCGTATTCCCAATTTCTTCACGGATGCGGTAGGAATTGACAGATCTGGAGTTTTACTAAACTTGGCTAGAAACAAACAATCTCTACTTTTGTATGTAAAACTTATCGATCAATGCATGAGATAGATTCTGTCATCTTTCATTTTCAAGTAGAGATAAAGCACTATCTGCAATAGTAATAACAAGACACAAGGTGAAGCTGGCGATCATGTCATTTTACGAAATGAAATGTAAACATTGCGACTAATTTCTGAAATCATCTGCATATAAATTGGTCAACACATCGCGTCTCTCATCTATCGCCTTTAGTGACTGTCGTCTTTCAAGCTTTTTGTGATCTACTGGTCGTTAATCTTCTCTTTCAGGTAAATATTCGTAGACAAACGAGATGTTTGTAGTCTTCTAGCTTCTCTTTCTGCGTATTTTCATTCCCTAACTCACTTCACCTTCGGTCCCACTCTCAGGTGTTTCTTGGACGATTATGAGTAAACAAGAAAGAGAAAGACGCAAATGTTCACATTTAGCTTTTCATTGTGTGAGAGGACAGAAACAGAGAAGAGTAAACAAAACTGTAAATGAAAGGAGAAAAACCATAATGATTCGCAGACTCGATTGTGTTACGTTCATTCTCAATAAGGAGAAATAAACCACTATCTTCAATAACAACAACAAGGCGAAGCTGATGATGATGTTGTTTTATGAAATGAAATGCAAACATTTCGAGCAATTTATGTAACCATATGCATGCGGATGAGAACTTATAAATTGTTCAACACCTCGTGTCTCGGAGCACATATCACAAGTAGAACAACGAAACAGTAGTGGGTGACGAACGAGACCGAGGTGAGCATCAATATATATAGTCTCGCTGCTGCTTTGCCTATTAGCAGGCTTGCGTTTTTGAAGCGAATAAGGGCTAGTAAGTGGAAAGAAGCTCGTGTTACAAAATAGCATACCTCTATTGTAGAGATAGTAGTTGAGGTTTTTGAAGCAACGTGAAAGAATTTTTCTCGTCTTTATATGCATGGCAAGTTTCTATTAATCTTCTTTGTCTTTTGTTTTCTTTTCGAAAAGCAAAAGCTTTTTGTGCCAATAATAAGCAAGTGGTTGGTTCATTGAATGACATTAATCCACAGAAGAATCACTGGGGAACATCATTTTCTGTAGAAAAGAGTTTGCTTTTTGAAAAGAAAACAAAAACAAGAGAAGATTAATAGAAACTTGCCATGCATATAAATAAAGCAAAAGTTCTTTCATGTTGCTTCATAGACCTCAATTATTGTTTCTCCAATACACGTATGCACTTTTGTAATGCGAACTTCCTTCCAGTTTAGTTCCATTTTCTTCTTTTCTTATCTAGAAGTTCCAATTAGCAATATGGGAAACGTAATACCTGGCACTGGAAAGGTTTATTGGGCGTGCCCCTGTTGCAGAAAACAAGTATGGGTCTACGAAATAGCTGGCTTTACGTCGGGAGCAATATGTTTTGCATGCCGAAATACACATGGCGATCGAGTAGTTCAAAATTGTTCTCAACGATAATGCAACAATAACATTCATTTCCTCCAGCGCGTGTGTGTGTTTTAATATCTAGCATTTAATCAAGACTGTACATTGTTTTTCTTGCGTTTTCTAATGTGACTTCTGGTCTTTTGTTTTGAAATTGAGGCAAGTTTTGACATTTATTGAAGAACAATAGAAAATGAAAATTATTTCTACAATCTATTTTAAAAGGAGAATTGGGTACTTGAGCTTCTTGGAGTAAATTTGGGCTGATGTGCTGGAAAGCAAAGTATAAGTGTAAGTCATTATTCGTCGGATTGCAGAGAAACGGTTGTTGTCAGAAAAACAAACGAATTACATCTTTCTTTCACTATTGAGTATCTTTAAGGTGTCATTCACAACAAAATCATTGCGAACAGTGACCATTTCTTAAAGGAAATAAATGATAATATAAACAAATACTTATGTGCTTTTTCGACGAATGATGAGACACAGCTATCCTGTGCTCCCGACCGCTTAAGCTGTAATTTACCTCACTGAAGAAGCTCAATTGTCCAGTGAAAAGGTAACGGACGTTTATTCTCATCTTATCCAGAAGCAAAATTACAATGTTTTTTCTTGTAGATTATTTAATTTCATTGTCTTAGAGACTAGTTTGTCAGCAGAATATCCGAACAATTAATCATGACAGGTAGGAAGAAATTTCAGCTTTATGAACGATACCATCGATTATGGTTATTTTCATTTCCATCTTTTTTATCTTTTCTATAGATGTACTGGCGGAATTCCATATAAAAGAAGAAAATGGACAAGTTGTCGCGGTTGAATATGACTTTTCTCATAATGGTGATAGTGACAATGATAAAAAATTTTCGTGTCCACGGCAAACCATATCCATAGAAAACTTTTTAAAATATCAGCAAACGGAAATAACATGGGATGAATTTGTTACTGTATTAAAAGCATTTATTCTCGGTGATAAATGTCAATTAAATGAAATCAATAATGCATTTAAAACTATGAGCAAAAATGGTTCAACAATTGATATGGCTAAAGTTGCTAAATTTTTAAATATTGTTGCTCGTGAATTCAGTCAAACAGCAACTGGTGTTACAGATGCAGATGTTGAAAAGTTCATTTTACAAGGCGATGCAAATGGCGATGGCAATATTGATCGACCCGAGTTTATTCAGATGTTTGCCAGTAGAATTGGATATTTGTTTGTTTCATCTATACATTCGAACTGAATCAATGCCAATATACTTTCGTAACGATACATAGCGTAAACTTCTGCATATAATTAAATTCTTACTCACTTGTGTGGTGTGTATTTCTGTACGAAATTAAATTCTGACCAAATAAATAGTCTTTCTTTTCTTACTTACACGTACAACCGTTTGCTCGTGACGTTGTTTTGGGAAGCGCGAAAGGACACCATTCTGGTCTATGAAGACGCAAATGGTGTCTGTCATAAATTAGGGCTAAACAAATCTTGCTGCTGTTCCTTTTCGAAGGAGACCAAACAGTTTTCGAACGCACATATGTCTCTCACAACTTTTTAGTATTTTGACTATAAGTCAAAATCACACGTGCAATATTTTTTTATCAATAGCTCATTCGAAAGAGAATTAAAAACTGAGCAAGTGATGCATTAGAGCAGATCTATCGATACAACGTCGAGGTAATATGCCCAAGTTACTCCCAAAAGTCATCATTTAAAAACCACTTAAGAACATTGGTTTTTCAACAAGTTGTTCAACAGGCAGTATGCGTTAAGTGGTTCACTTACAGCTTAACTCTTATGTAAGCCTTTGGAAAATTTTCGCAGGACATTGGAAATGCTAATGAGTTCGGATGCAGTAGGAACTGAACATGAATTCATACATGAAGTGGCGGTTTGGATTTTTCTAGAACCATGTGCTTTAGAAATACTTGGTCACGAAATTGATCAGAAAAAGAGATTGAAAAGTCGGTTACTGTTCATTGAAGTGAAAGCTGTGTAGGCGTAGAGATTTTTTTGACGCTTTCCCATGTAGGTAAAAGAGGTTCAAGCGGGCAGCGAGTACCCGAAAATGGGTCCTTGCCGATGGCTCGACTCTTCGAAAAGTGGCAGATCGGGCCCTCGGTATTAGCTTTCGTAAGGTATCGATTTCGGCCCCTCGGATTTCAGATGGGTGCCGAGCCGTCGAGAAAGATTAAAGACAAGGCAGACAGGGTGAAGAAACTCTGCGCGCTCTCACCTGTTTCAGAATCACAGTGAAACGCTTCTTTATCATATTCTGATACTTTTTGGGGTAGAGGAGGTTTCTGATAAACTTGTGTACGAAGTTTATTGCAGAAGACTCCTGGTGAAGTAAAGATATCGCTTGTTAAAATAATAAGTCTCTGTTGTGTAGGCGTGTACGTCGGTGAATTACCATCTTGGGAAGAAAGATTGAGTAGAAAAGGGCCTCGTGAGTGTGGTCTAGAGAGCTAAGGTAACCGTACAGTTACTTATTCTCGCGGTGAATAAACAGAAGAAACATTGAGCTTATGAACAATTCGATGATGAAGAACATTTTTAAAAAAAATTCGAAAGAAAATCGAAGTCAAGAAAAAAAGTGAAGTCCGAAAAAGATGTAAAAGGATTTTTTTGTAAAGTTTTTATGTAGTTTTCGTATATTCTGCGTCGATTTATCTAATTTCTTCTTGATAATCACGAGAAGAAATGGTAGTTACCAGTCAAAAATTCAGCATTTTTTGTGCAAAAAAGGCTTGGAAAGACTCTTTTGTCTCTTATTATATTTCTAATATATCTTATCTCGGACAGAAGTGGAAACATCATTAACATAAAAACAGTAATGGCAGCTTGAAAGACATAAGTGAACATCATTACTTTGATGTTCTAAATCGATATTTCGAAATACGAAATAAAATTTTAGATTTAGGATTCTGTTTTGAAAATTCATGTCTGTGCGTTACCTAATGTTTTGTCAATAGTTCGCTAATTTTTCAAGGCATCAATATTTTCTCTTTACCAAAAGATAGCCCTGACTTTCAGCTACAAAACTTTCTCTCGCGCAATTCATTAACATGGAGTAGTCCGTAAAATTTATCACTCCTTTCGCATGTGCCCGGAAAAGAGGTCTGTCATGTCACAGGCCTTTTCGTCTCACCATTCTTCAAATACAAAGACAAGAAACAAAAGAAATTTGTGGCATAGTAGATCATTCTTTTTTCTTCTTTGAAAGTAGGTCAAATTGTTTTTACGTAATATTTTCGGTAAAAAAACCTCGTTTTGAAACCTAAAGCAAGTTCACATGATCTTTTACAGATTTTGGTAAATATACATAAAGACCTGATACATTAATAGGTAATGTGTGAAAATATGGCGAATTCGCTTGCAGACGTCTTGCAGAATGTGTCGCTAACATGTGTCCATATGAACGAACAAAAAGGACGACAAACAAGGAAAACATCCGGTAACTTTGATTCTTTGTGTCTGACGTTAGTCTTAAAAAAAGCTTGCTGCTGAAGTCCTTCTTTTGTTATAAAATGACAGTTCGAGCTTTTTGCGTTTTTCGACAACGCTGTAAAAAAAAGCGTCGGAAAACTGTCAAAACGCCGAGAAATGTACGAAAATTGCAAAAAAACATCATCTTTTCGAACATTGCAATATATCGTCGATGTTCTTTGACTAAATCAATTCGACAAGGATTGGTCAGAGGATTCTAGTTTTAACGAGGAGATGACGATACCATATCTGGAGATGGAGATACTAATGTCTCATTACTGTCGCTGTTGACTTCAGAATCTTCGTCAAATAATTCTTGGAAACCTTCTTTAAAAGCTGAGTGATACGGCATATAGCTGGGTAATTGCAGTTTTTCAGCTTCCAAACCTTTTTCATATAATTTTTATCCTTGAGCTAAAGCCATAGTTAATTGTGCAGATTGTTCGGATAAGTGAGACCTTAAAGGAAGACAGAAAGAATGGTTCTCGCCTAGACTTTATATATGTGCCGTTAGAAGATAAAATGCAAAATTTGATGTCCGATCGTAATCAGAAAGCTAAACGAAAGAAATTCGCAAAGATAAAAAGTCAGTGATCTCCTTTTCAAGAATTCATACTTATTGATAAAATGAGAAAACTTCTGGAGTTTCATGAGAATAACCTTGCATTTTCGAAGTTCCTGGGAATGAACAATAGAACTCAACAGCCGAAAGTCGCAAAAGCACTTTTTAATCTATAAAGCAAACAAGTATTAATAGAAAACCTGCAAAAAAGTTCAACAGATTTATTTGCATTTTGAAACGCACAAAATTCGGCTTATTTGAATTACGCGTGCGAAAATTTCAAAAGCAGTCTCATTATTTTTGAAATCTATTGGGTAAACCCATTTGATACCTACCGTTTCATCACCAGTAACGAGATACACATTTTCTGATGTAGATTTTGACGCCGATTTCAAAGGCGAAGCCGCAGCTTTCTACCTTTGTCCGGAAAAAAAGTTATGGTCAAAATACTCTCTCTCAGCAGAAAAATGCATTTTTCGTTATTTTCCAGCAGAAATGGCCTCTGTCGCAAAGCTTCTTTGTGACCCTTATTCGTGTCATAGACAGATGTGCGCCGCCGCCGCCGCTGAAGGCAGAGAAAAACTGTTGCCACTTCTGCCGCCGCCGCTGACAGCGGAAAAAAACTGTTCCGACTTCCATCGCCATGCCGTAAAACTTTTGTCACCGCCGAGGGCGGAGAAAAGTTTTTTCCGGAAATTTTGACTATTTTTGTTAGCACGTTCTCACCTTTGGCATCTAGCATCAAGTGAAAGTTGATAGTAATATTCGGCTTTCGAATACTGTGCCATGTCACACAGAAGATCTCCCAATGTTAACAATGAAGATGCTTCTGTTAATTGACTTCTGAAACGTTCAATGACTTCAGTAAAATGTTTATTTTCTTGCTCAGTCACGGCTAAAATAACATACCTAAGATTACCCAGTCGTTCAACAGATTCAATACGAAATATTGTATCAACTGCAATCAGATTTCGATCGATAATAAGTTGAATTACATACGTGTTCCACAATATTACATAGAACATAGCGCAATTGGATCGGAGTGAGTTGAGGGTGCAGAGCACAATTATAGAATTCTTGAGTAGAAGATAAATAAACTAGAAAAACAGTGGACGTCATAAAACACAGCATTTATTTGAACAAACTTTCTTGCGACATAAACAATAGAGAACGTTTATTTTTAGCTGTATATTAAAAACAAGCACATGAACGTGATCAACAGCAGCATTTAAGAGAATATAGACAAAAACAAACAACGATGGAGTAGATATGCTGAATTTTAGATTAAAAAAGATCAAATTCCGTCACACTGCCTGTTATAATATAATAAGTTAAAAGTAATGTACTACCCAGGTGAATGAAAATGAGACATTAACGAGCCATTAATGGTACGGTATAAGAATGATCGGTTGATGGTCAATTAATGGTATAAGAATGACCTAGAAATGACCTCATTTTGTGCTCATTAGCAAAAATGATATAAAAGTTGTCCGTTAATGTTCCAGCAGAAAAAAATGCACAGAAAATGATCATAAAATGGTCATTTATATGACTTTAAGTTAACATCATTTATGTGTAACTAGTTGTCCAGTTGTTATGGAATTTTTATACCATTCTTCAACAATTTGTACCCAGGTCATTCATCCAAGGCGGTATAAGATCGTTTACACTGAAATACGGCAAAATACGACGGTCGTATACCTGTATGGAAACGATGAAATACGATGAAGTTACGGCACGACAAAGTTTTTAATGAAGCCAAAAAGCACAAAAAACTGAAAAACCGATGTCGGTTGGTCGTCTAGTTTTCAAATTTTCAAACGGTTGCAGAGTTTTTAAAACAAAGTTTTGGGCTCAGTTTGTAGAAAATTGAATTTTCTACCTAATACCACCTCCATATTTCTAGGGAAATTCTGTTTGGATGCGCAAACGTGGGTTTTGGTAGAAAAAATTTGTATGTGAAAATCATAATCCTTCACTCGATGAACGTCTTACAAAAATCAGTATTGAGTTTAGAAAAAGAAAAGGCCCATGATTTTGTTTAGTTTTTAATGATCTTTCGAATGAGACATTGCTCGATCTGAACCGTCAAAAAATGATGGAACTATATAGAAAATATGAGACAGTGCACATGTTTGCTATCCTTCGATGCACGTCATTTTGAAAACTCTTTAACTAGGTCAAAATAAAGT